TTAGTCAGACTACTGCATTCTGGTTTTAAGCAGAAGCATTTAGAGCTTGGTTTTCCAGTTGAGTTGATTATATCAAAACATTATGTAAAAAAAAAAATAATTCCCCAATTCTTAGGATAGGTACATGTGAGCTCACTTCTGGTTGCAGGCAAGATCTATACAGACTGTTTAAGGATGTAGACTCACTGCATGGGGGAGAAAAAAAGTAACTCCAACAGCTGTAACAGTTAAACTTGTGTTGCTGCATATACAACTTTTCTATGCTATACAGCATGGACTCCCGTTGGCAATTTTAGACCTTTCTTCCTAAAGCAGCATACATATCAGCCTATGCTGTGTCATTATGATCTAGATCAATAAACATCCTTTTTGCCCTTGCTCTTTGAATGTAGATTCTTCACACGCCGTGTTGATGTTTTGCCTCCCCTCAGTGAGTTATTTCCCAGAGCACATCAGTTTGCTGCAAGGTAAACCCTGTAGCAAAGGGCTGGGTTTGATTCTAAGCCAAAATAGGAAGCTTGCTTAACATCTTAAATATGTTAACCATAGATTGATTTACAAGATTAGTAAATCCTTGAGTTGCAGTTGGGGGGGGGGGGGGGGGGGGGCCGGGAAGGAAGGGTCATGTGAAGATATGAAAAATAGCATCTACTCCTAAACTAAAACAATGTTAACTCACTTTTTGCCTATAAATCTTTCAATTACTACAAGAAAGTAAGATGTACTTTGTAATGTCTTAAAGTCTGCTATTTTGATAATAAACCTCCTCTCCCATACTGGATATTTTACACACAATAGCCAGCATGCCCTGTGCCAGAGGAGAAGATGAGCATGAGCTGTGTTGCATAAGCCTGCTGCTTGAGAGATGCAAACACAAACTAAGTACTATTAAATCGACACAGAACTCACGCATAAAGCAACTGCCATGCAAGGCAAGGCAGGAACTGGGCAGAACCCTAAGGCAATCCCTGAGCCAGTTCTGTAGGATGGGACTTGGCCAGAAGGTACTGCAAGCTTCACTGAGGGAAGGCAGTTCTTTCTCCCTCAGGTATTTCCCAACTTGCTTCTCTCCCAACAGCATGAATAATTGTTTAGGAGATGATCAGTCATGTGTTCATTAAGTTGTACTAGATTTAGACTAATATAGAAGTAAACCAATGTTTTTAGGAATTTTGGTAAGCTGTAGCAGCTGTAAATCCAGGGACCAACAGCCAAGAGTTAACGTGCTGTGGGAGCTGTGTCAAAGGACAGGCTTGCTGACAGCGCACACAGATCTCAGGAACAGCTTCTTCCCTCTCTGAGGGGAGAAAAAAAGACTAGTACACTTTTTCGCCAGACATGAGACCGGCTGTGCTAGAAAGTGAGAGCAATTTTTCTTCATAGAGCGCCTGCTTGCTTTTTGCCATGCTGGTAGTGGCAAGAGAGCAGAAAAGAGAAACAGATGTTGACTCAGCGCTGCTCTCAGTGATGCTTCACATAGATGTCTCCAACCAACCCTTCCAGTAGCTGACGGGCGACCAGAGCATAAGCCACTCTCAGACCGTATTGCCCATACTGGCACAATTACGAATACTAGATTATACTGTCCATGCTGGTAGACGCACCTAGGAGAAGCAGGTCATAATATAATGTATATCATACCCAGAAATATGTCAAAAGATTGCACAAGGGGTGGTGCCAACCCCAGGAAACCACTTTCTCCTCCACAGACACAGCTAAGTCAGACACCAAAGACACGGCTTCAGCTACCAGAACCAGTTTACAGGGAATATGCCTATTTACACTGCATATAGATGTGACTTGCAAATGTAATGCATATGACATATGTATTGCCCAATTAAAGAGATAACTCCTTGCCCCATAGTGCACCTGCTGATATTAACCAGGCCAGGATAACTACTGCAAAATTGCAGAATTTAACTCTCCACCACAAAAGTTTTCACAACTTCAACTGTTAAGACAAATGAACCATCACATTTTTCCTGCATTCAGTGTCACACCGACACAATATGTTTACAGCATTGGTGAAGTCCCAGCTTCAGTCATGACATGGATGTGGAAGAGAAATGCAGACCTGCACATGAAGGGCACCAGTAAATCTGGTAGGATTCCCACTATGCTCTCTGAGAACATTTACACATATTTCAGCTCACTTTGGTTGGTCTTTTAACAAAAAAGTATCTTAGATGCATAACTAGAAATACTAATACTGGGGTTTTCTTTGGATGGGTGTGAGGAGGAAACCCACACACCAGCTCCTCTGCCTTCTTCCCCCAGTAGTCTTCTGCATTTGGCATAGCAAACTAGCAGGACTTCAGTACCTCTCCAATTAAAGCTGAGTTACCATCAGAGGCCCATTATATCATCACTTTAATCAGCAAATATAGGTCTCTAAGTGACCAGATAGATTCTTAGATAGCAAATGAAAGACAAGATAATAATTATCATGAAAATCCATTATAATTGCCCATGCTTTAAAGAGCCATACTGGATGATTTAAAAGTGATTACAAAGTTAAAAAAAAAAATCAACCTTCTTTTCTGCAACAGAGTTCTTGTGGTTTCTTAAGCAAAAGGAAAGGTGATAACATCTCCTTTAACATTTGCGTCAGAGTAACAGCTTGCTACAGCCAACACCACATGTTTGTGATCACACAGAATTTCTGGTGAGTACCACTTTCAAGTTTTGTTTTTCTCTTTCCCTGAAACCATGACAAGTCCACGCAAAGTGCACATCATTAGGAACAGGAGAAAGGGTGATGTGAGAGTTTGTTCACTCCATGTATCTTCTAACAAACTGATCATTGATGAGTAACAGCTGTTTGCATATGGATACTTGTTCACTTGAAGCCAAAGAGATGCTTGCTTTTTATTATAGGTGTGAATAAGCCACATCTACTTCTTCTCACCCTTCAAGTGCCACAACAACTTCAAATATTTGAAATACAGACGTTTTCTATGTTTAGTAACAGCTCCTTTTGTAATAAGGAAGTCCATGATTCCCATGTTCGTGAGCTGTACAAATAAAACTGAACAAATAATGACTACTTGCACTAGCAAGCACACCATCAACAAAATGAAAGTACTAAGCAAACAGCTCTGTTGGATATCTTGGGACACAGCTGTGCTCTCCTAGCCTGTAACAGCAGCAGTGGGACAAAGCAAAACTACACTCTTCCATGTTTACTTCCAAAGAGCTAGTCATCATGGGGGTTCTCTGTGAGGATGTTGCTCAGTGTCTGCAGTAAAGTTGTACAGACTCAATAAAGCTGAATAAACTTCTTTAATAAAAGAGGCACTTGCACAGACCCGGAGATCAGCCAAGTGCATCACCAGTTAGTCAGGTTTAGAAAGTTTCTGTGACACAAATATGGGCTTTCAAGACCTATCTTTGCTTTATTTCAGTATTTTTCCTTTCACTACATAGTCTTGCAATTTTCATTTGCCTAAGAGCTTTGCCTCTCTTTCCATCCTTACTTCAAGGCTTGTCAGGATAACTCAGAAGATCTACACAGTGAAAATCAGCACTTTGCAGAAGTCTCCCACATACTCATGGGAAGAGACGGGATTAGGATAACAAACCTCCTCCTTATCAAGGAAAAGTCTGTCCAATCAGGTACCTATGACAGGGACTAAAGCAGAATCTGCTCCTTTTAAACACCATTTTCTCTGCAGAAATATGGGTTTCAGTTCGACACTGGCCAACAGGTATTCTACCCAGTTTTGCTGTCCCATGTCACAAGAGAACTTATTTGCACCCAAGGGCTGGAGACAGTAGTTGTCCTCCTTGTCAGGAGCATTTGGAAACCAGCATGCACTCAGAAACCCCACAGCCTCACACTTTCTTCAGCAAAGGACACTGGTATTAGGAAGACTTCATTAGACTCCAACTGTCTTTTTCCTTGTGCTGTCAAGTAATCACCTTCCACTCCCCCATATATAATACCCCTTGCAATGCACACGTGCTGTATCACAAAGTAACAGGCTTAACACAGGACAGTGTTATACTGCAAAAGCAATTCTGCTCTACACTATAGATTTATATTTTAAATAAATTCAAAAAATATCAAAGTATCTTGCAAGACATGTTTTGTATTTTCAACAGATAGATGAATTTTGCAAAGTAAAGTTTTTACCCTTGTTTATGCATACCAGTATTTATTATTCTTGAGTATTGATTATAATCTGGATCAATAAACTCAAGCGTACAGACTGAAGTATTAACACCTCCTGACTTAAAAATAATGATTCAGGCCAGATTTAATATAAAAAAAGTCTCAGTGAGCAAAACTGAATTTTGATTTTGGTAGCTCAAGCCTCAGTTGCTTTCATTTATTATTTTTCCTTCTTTTACGAATTCACAACTGTGCTGCTCTTTTGTTTTCCATGTGAATCAGTGCCAAAAATGTGTAAGTGGAAAGGCTTTTACTGCTCCTAATAGGGACTTTAACAGATTCTTCAAGTAAGATTTTCAGACAGTTTTCCGGATTGCAGATGTTAGGATGATCACATCTGTGATGGTTTTGATGCAATAATTTTCTTCATAGTTGCTAGTATGGGTTATGATTTGGATTTGTGCTGTAAACAGTGTTGATAATGCAGAAGCGTGATTTGCTAGTGCTGAGCCATGCTTGCACAGAATCAAGGCCTTTTCTGCCTCTTACTCCACTCCACCATCAATTAGGCTGTGTTATCTTAGGTGATGGCTGGGGTTAAACTGCAGCAGTCTTTTTTTTTGGCACCCAACATGGGGCTAAAAGAGTTTGAGGTAACAACAGGTTTGACTGGAATGTGCTAGATTGAATTTATAGCTATTATTGCTATTTAGTTATTCATTTACATGCTCCTGTGCTTTCTTGCTTCACTGTATATTGGAGTCTAGTGCTCATTAGAGGCTGTATTTTTGCTCTTTCTGCTGGCTGTAAAGCCTACCATCTTACTCTGCTGTGCCTGGGAACACTTTGATAACAGCAATATGTCTCAGTTGTGTCCTGGGTTCAGCAGTAAGTCATTTTTCTCCTTCTTAGTAGCTGGTGCAGTGCTGTGGTTTTGACTTTCACCCTGGGAACAGCGCTGATAACACCGATGTTTTCAGTTGTTGCTCAGTAATGTTTACCCTGACCAAGGACTTTCTGAGTCTCATGCTCTGCCAGGGAGGAGGGGAAGCTGGGAGGAAGCAGAGACAGGACACCTGACCCAAACTGACCAAAGAGGTATTCCATACCACAGCACATCATGCCCAGGATGTAAACTGGGGGCAGTTACCCGGAAGGGTGAGATCACTGCTCGGATTGGGCTGGGTATTGGTCGGCAGGTAGTGAGCGGTTGTATTCTCTTCCCTTGTTATTTCCCTTACCATTTTTTATTATTAGCCAAGCCATCAATTATTATTGGTGACAGCAGTAGTGGTTTGCGTTGTACCTTAGATACTGGACTGTTCTTATCTCAACCCGTGGGAGTTACGCTCTTTGATTCTCCTCCCCATCCCTCCTAGAGCAGGGGAAGGAGGGGGAGTGAGAGAGTGAACAGCTGCATGGTTCTGAGTTACCAGCTGGGCTTAAACCACAACAGGTTGGCAGATGGACAGAGCGTTGCTGCTGTACTAGACAGGCTGGAACTCCAACATGAACTTAAGGCAAAGTGACTGTGACCTGTGAATGAGTCCATGTGGGAGGAGGACATCACAAAGTGTCTGTGGCCATGAATATGCCCACACAAGAACAAGGATATCTCAAAGTGTCTGTAGCCATGAATATGTCCACACCAGAACAAATACATCTCAAATTGTCTGTGGCCATGTGGCCATACCCTTGACACAGAGAGGCTCACGGCGCAAGGATAAAACCATGCTGGAGACAGAGCACCTCAAAGCACACAGTTACGCATAAGCCCACAGCATAGCATGTGCATCCCTTAAGGGACTGCAGCCATGGGTAAAGTCACATCGGAGCAGGCATACCTCTGAAGGCATTGTGGTCCTGTGTCAGTGACAATAGATAATGGCCTGTGGTGAAACACACAAAAATTGAAAAGTACTGTTTGGCACGGGTTGTAGGACATAACCTTGAACATAGGGGAGTTAACACCGCTGTTAGCAGAAGGGAGTCTTATACCAGTTTCAAGACGCATGAGATAATGGTCCATGGTGGCTCCTCCCTGAAAAGTCCTGCTTTGGAAATCCCAAAAACAGTCCCAACACCCAGAGACCCTTTTTGTATAGCTGGCCACTCCCTCTGATGTAGGCTGGCCTCCTACATCAGAATGAGTGTCCCCTTTTGCTAGCATAAAAGCCCAAGCCCCATGTAACATGGGGAGCCAGACCCCTGTACCACCCAGGTCAACATTGCCTCTGTGGGAACGCCTGCTAAGGTTGAGCCTGCCACCTCACACTGCGATGATGCGTCTCCGAGCTGGTTTCCTGATCGTCATCACAGAGTCTTTGGGGTTGGCAAATAAACACTCACCAAAAATATCTGTCACTGTTTCTTTTACCCTTTGCCTGCCCTTCCTCCCTATCTTTTCCTATAGTAATAAATTAGTTGTTTTTTATCCATTGTGTCTCGCCTCTCTCTCTCAACCTGGAATCCTCAAACTCTGGAACAGGTCCTTAGGTAAGGCCACATTGGAACAGGTCCTTAGGTAAGGCCACATTGGAACAGATGCACCTCAAGACAACTGTGGCTGTGGATAAGTCTATGCTGCAGCAAGTAAACCCCTGAAGATACTGCAGCTCTGATAAGGCTCCACTTGGAGCAGGTACACCCCTGGGGGACTGCAGTCTGTGAATATGTTGAAGCCAGAGCAGGGGCAAGGGGAGGAGTTCATTGTAATGTTAAAACCTGTGATCGGGTCCATATGGATCAGGGGTCAATATTGTAATGGAAATACCTTTAAACTGTTATAACCCATGATTTAATTTGCATGTTTAAGAATTACTATAGCAGAAACCTAAAAGAACCCCAGAAGCTGGGAGGGGACACAGCCAGGACTGCTGACCCTAACTTACTAAAGGGATATCCCAGACCATACAGCATCATGCTCAGCATATAAAGCTGGGGGAAGAAGGATGAGAATGAACTTTTGGAGTGATGGCATTTGTCTTCCCAAGTAACTGTTACGTGTGAAGGATCCCTGCTTTCCTGGAGATGGCTAAACCCCTGCCCACCAATGGGAAGTGCTGACTGAATTCCTTGTTTAGTTTTGCTTGCATGGCTTTTGTTTTACCTATTAAACTGCCTTGATCTCAACCCAGGAGTTTTCTTACTTTTACCCTTCCTAGTCTCTCCCCAATCCTGCTGGGGCAGCAAGTGGGTAGCTGTGTGGTGCTTAGTTGCTGCTTGGAGTTAAACCACACCACCACCATTTAAACCTTCAGATTTTTTCAATCATTATCATAAGTTTATAAAAGTAAATATTTTCCTTAAGGTAAAATCTGAAATTATTCCTCTGAAACTTATAGCTGAACTCCCACTCACTTCAGTGGAATCTGGATATAGACAAGGATATGCATTATTAGTCTGATGACATACAGTGTAATCAAGCTAATGAGTATGACAACTTGAGACCAAAAAGTATAGACTGAGGAGTGTGCTGTTGACAAATGTAGAAAAACACGACGATTTCAAGCAAAATGTTGCCTACAGAACTCAGTGTTTAAAAAAGCATTTTAATTAGATGTACCATGGTTTTTACTGTTTTGAAAAGCAGTAACTAGAACGATTCCCAAATGGTTGATTGGAGAGAAATAATTTTTTTTCACTTACTTCACTGGGATGGAGTTAAATTCATCTGCAAAAAAGCAAACCAGTGAACACTGTTCTAGTAGAACATAAAAAGTTAGAAAAATGTTAGTTTGGAAATGGCACAATAACCTCACAGTAAGCAAAGCGTTTCTTACTCCAGATAGGTAGTAAAGTACTTTGGAAAATCCACCAAACCTCTTCAAGGTCCTCCAAACCAGGCTACCCTGTTGTCTTGAAGTAAAATTTACTGAAATATTTAATTTCTAACTAGCTCAAATTTTGACAGTCAATTTAAGTCCAAAGCTTGCATCTTCTCAAGCCTTTTAACAATGCAGAGAGTATCTGTATAATACTTGTCATGGAGCAGTATCAATTTCCTTAAAAGCCTGAGATACAGAAATGCCAACTGAATTGTCTCCCTAAATAAATTTTAAAACATTGTTCCTGCTCAAAAAGAAAAATCTAACTCCAAAACACATTTGGTGGGGACAAAAAGCAAACACAACCAAGTTCAAATTATTTTTGCAACTAGTATCCAAACATTGCAAACACACCTACTTCATTTCAACAATACAGCTGACCTCATTTAAGGGAAAAGACTTTAAACCTTCTGCTTCAAAGGGAGAGAAGGTTCTGGTTCTCTACCTCAAAACATTTTATACGAGTTTACCTCACTCATGAACTCCATCCTCCCTCCATTACCTCAATCTTTCAGACCTTTCAGTAACCTAATTATAAATCAAAGAATATAACAGAGGCATATATTGATCTTCAATCTTACTATTCATGTAGTTATTCAACCTTTACAAACAACGTATTTCAAGAAAATATTTATTTTCTATATCCTTGGAATGTTATTACTCACTATTACTATTAATATAAATGTGAAATTAATACAGTAAAAAAACCTCCCAGGGTCTCTTTAATCCCATTGGAAAACTTATTTTAATCAATACTTATTGCACTGAAAATACTGAACAGACATCTGTGCAACTTTTTGCAGGAAAAGGGGTAAAAAAAGAAGGAAAAGGATAAAAGAAGATCAGTAAAATCATATTAGTGAGGCTTTAGATCCTTCAGACCACACTCAAATATGACAAAGTTTTGTTTGCAATCACTTGCAGTGAAGGAAGGGTAAATACGCATAACCAGATAGTGATGCTGACGTGAACTAGCATACAATAAAAATAGTCTGAAGAGAAAAATGGTTTCCACCAAAAACCTGTTAGATCTATAGCAGCAGTGTGTCACCATACCAGAGAGAGGAGGAACCATTTGGTCCAAACATCAACCTGATCTTGACATAACACCACTTTATTACCTATCCATTCACATTAACATCACCAAAACCATGATTTCACGCACACACTTCAAAAGCTCCAAAACAGGCAGGGACAGGAACACTGGAGCTCTTGCCTACCCTAGAGACAGAAAAAGCCATAACTTGCATAGTTTTGAAAAAGCCCACAAAAGAGACTTGAAGCCACATTGAAGATCTGTGATGTCTGAGCCATACATTCATCTCATGACAATGCTCTGTAAGTTTTTTTACTGCATCCAGAATCAGTGGGGAGCTCTGTTCATAATTCATTGGTGTCTCATAGACAGCAGAGCTATCTGCCGGTGGCTTTCAGATGTAAAACCTAATGACTGAATACACCAACAGAAAATAATACTTCATCTTGCTTTCCGTCTTGTAAAAACTTCAATCCCATTCCATTATTCAGGAATACAGGTATATTTTCTCCCCAGTTAATGTTTTTGTTTATTTATTTTATAAATCCCACACAGATTTCTAGGGGTATTTGTGATTAAGATTATCACCACATGCAGCAGACAAGCACCACAGTTCACAGCACAGGCTGTTCCCTCTACAGTGAGCAAGATGTTTCTTGTCATGCATAATTCACAAAGCAAATCAAACATGTCAGAGTCAGTGAATGTTGTGAAAGCTCACAAAGGAGAAAGGAACTCTTGGAGTTCAATTAACAGACGAGAAACAGCAATGTAATAATGGTCTCACCAGTTTTTTACAGGTTGAGCTTTAAAGACTTTTGACCATCTCAGAGCTGCAGCAAATATACCAAGCTGAGACTCAAAACACTTGAAGATTACTGAAAGATCATAGGTTCTTCGCAATATCTCTCATTGAGCAAAAAAATTCTTCTAGAAACAGAAGGGGTCGAATTCCCCCAAAATGCAGAATTCAAATAAACTTGTTGCAGTAGTGTTGTAGGAATAAACTAAAAGAATGTCATGTTTCTTTGAGAGGTAGAAGCGTTTTGTACCAACACTGCTGCAGCACTGCTTAGTGCGTTCTGTGCCAAAAAAAAAACCTGTCAGAGCACTACATTCACACCTCTTAAAGCCTTTATGAAGATTTAAGTCTATCAGAATGAAAACACTGGCATAACTTCCTCTTGTTTTACAGTATTACTAACGCTCCTTCACTATCACTTAAAGAAATTTGTTCATTTTAGTTCCAGAGCTAGCTTAGATTGCAACAAAATGTTTTGGCTCCTAATGCCAAGTCAAAGTGGATAACAACTGCTACCTTGCCACAGTTTTATCTCTGGTCCTTCTCATGAGAGCTATGTAACTTAAGCCAAC